GGACTCCCCCTCCCCCCAAGAGATCACATAAGCTGCTCTCCTACCTCTGACTGATATTCATCTGTGATACACTAGTCTGACCATACTGATTATTTATGGTCAAAGTCTCTTCTAACTGATACTGGTTGTTAGATATTAGTAGTTTGAATGTTGTTTCTATCCATATCTCATAGTCCCAGAAACCAGCTTAGAGGGAAAGTCAGAACTCTCAAAGATAGAGAATTTTATCCACTGTAATGGAGCATTTACCCAAAGTGACTGCTAAAAATTTGGATTGGACTAAACATATTAAGTTGGACTAAAATGAAGTTTTGCCACCAAGATAAAGAATCCATAAAGGGAGAATCCGATCAATTATTTGAATATAAACAAACTACATTGTTTGTCTAGGACATTTAGTGAATTTGCAGCTTTGTGAGGAATGTGGTGTCCAGGAGGTGGAAAGATCTGGGGAATTCCATTTTACTTAAATCCACTAGCAATGCTAAGTCCTATAGGATGGAGATTTTTGTTTATTTTGCTCACTGCTGTATCTCCTGTGCTCAGAATGTGTCTAGCACATGGTAAGTGCTCGATAAATGTCTGTTGAAGAAATTACAACTGTAACATGAGGCAGACTTGCAAAATGTCTCCTAGGAATCACAAAACAATTTCAACAAAAGCAGAGTGTCCCCCAGTGTTCCCATCACACTCCCTAGTTTTTAGCTCCCTCTAGGCATATTATGTTCCATTTTAGGCACCCAAATTTAAGAATGGGCACACATCAATAAACTAGAGAGTATCCAGAGGAGGGCAGGCAGGACAAAAGAATTTTGAAAACCAGCGCATATAGGGAACAGTTGAGATTAGTCAAGGAGAAAAATGATTGATGAGAGATAGGATGCTATTTTCAAATGTTAGAAATTCATTAAGGATTAAGAATGGAATACATGGGGGCGCCTGGGTGGCTCAGTGGGTTAAGCCTCTGCCTTCGGCTCAGGTCATGATCTCAGGGTCCTGGGATCGAGCCCCACATCGGGCTCTCTGCTCAGCAGGAGCCTGCTTCCCCCTCTTCCATTCCCCCTGTCTGTACTCCCTCTCTCGCTGTGTCTCTTAAAAAAAAAAAAAAAAAAGAATGGAATACATGTATGATTGTATGTTCATAATTAGATTCAATGAAAAAATTATGGATAAGCAATTTTGGTGCAGTATAACAAAGGAAATACTGACTCTAATTTTCCAGTAATGGAATGGATTACTTTGTGAACCAGGATGTGAGAATTATGTATTATCTTGTATTTTCTTTTCAATATTCACTGGTATTTGCCTCCCTGTCCCTTCAACTCATTGTATATTCTTGAAAGCAGAAACATGTAAACTTTGGAAGGTAGGGTTAGGTTTAAAACTTCATTACTGTGAAGAATTATGGGGCATATCAACTGATTGTCCATTATCTCAGGCCCTAAGGTCACAAGGTGGCAAACTCAAATCAGACAATGTATCTTTGAATGTGGAGTCCAGATCTCACTCTGATTTCCTGATGTCCATTGCAAAGTGAAATTGCAAATTTTGTAAATGAGATAAGATTTCATGAAGTTGATGAAAATATAAGAGAACTGCCCAAATCACAAAACTAGTCACTCATGAGGATTCGGCAGCGTTATTTCTCTTAATAATAGAATAAGCAGAGTTTGAAGACATAAGGATTTAACAAGTGTTTCAGTGGGAATTGCAGCCACTGGGTTTGAAAGTCATTGGAATATCAAACGATGAAGGCAGGCCCTTGGCAAAACTGATGAAGCTCTTGAACACTTTCATAAATATCTTTTTTATATTAGTTTGACAAAAGTCACTCTAACGTTAAAGGATATTGCTTCATGTTATTATGAAGTTGGATCAGAATGATGATCTTACCATGAAAATAGTAAACAATTTGTTTTGTGGTCTTATGAATTACACATAGCTTCTGTCAACTTAAATGTTGTTAAATATTAGGTGAAAAAGTGTTCCTCATAATTTTTGTCTTTATTATTTAAGATGAATTTAAAATGAGCCCCTCCCCCCCACTTTGTGAAATTTGGTCTTTGTTTTACATAGATTCCATTTTGGTGAACTTCTCTAGCAAAAAGTATCCTCTAGTAATGCAAAACTCCTGGATCTCTTTGTTTCTTCTAGTAGGAATGCTTTGTTTTTTCTTTTAGTTTTGTCAAAAAGGGACAAAGTTTATCAATAATATCAATAAGTGCTTTATTTCTACTTAGGTTGCCCATGGGGATACCAAAGAAACAGTGGCATCTTATTTGCCACCGAGCACCACTCAAAGGACCTTGTAAATAATCAATAAATAATTCTTTTTTTCTTTTATTCATTCATGCTAGACAGCAAGGACCTAAGAATAATTCAGTTCCTTACTTCTTAGAACCTACAATTCTGTAGTTATTCTGAGTTAACAGGTTATCCTTATTAATGTCATATATATACTTGTACAGAAATACCTTTCCATCACAAATGTAATATATACTCATTGTAGGTGAATTCAAAAAATAAGAAAGTGATCAAGAAGAAATCAAATGTAATCTTACCACTAGGAAATAAAAGCTCATGATATTTGGAGATAGATGGTTATAGACTTTATTTCCTATGTGTGTGTATAGTACATATATTTATATATGTGTATATATTACATAAATTTATGCAAATTATATAAGTATGTATAATTGTGCAAATTATATAATATGTACAAATGCATATTTATACACTATATATAGATTTTTAAAAGATATTTATACTACACATACTATTTTATAAATTGTCTAGCTCACAGATATTTTTATTTTTTATTATTATTTATTCTTTTTATAGATTTTATTTATTTATTGAGAGAGAGTGAGAGAATACAGAGGGAGAGGGGAAAGCAGACTTCTCGCTGAGCAGGGAGTCCTGACATAACACCCGGTCCCAGGATCCCAGGATCATGACCTGAGCCAGGAGCAGACACTTGACTGACTGAGCCACCCAGGTGCTCCTCAAAGACTTTTTAATAAGTATATGTCTAACTAATCATAATGACTGAAAGGTATTCGATTATATGAATATGCCATAATTTGTTTATCAAATTTTCTAACTGTTGGTCATTTAGATTGCTTCCAAAATTTTTTCTATTATTAACAATGTAACTTCCCACACATACATTTTCACTCATTTATTCATCCTTCTTTTCAGGTCAAGTATTTCATACTATGTTGAGCTTGAAGATTTAAAAATTTTAAAAATTAACAAAAAATTTAAACACTAAAAAACAAGCAAACTGAATCTACAGTGTTAGAAGTCAAGATAATAGTTGTCATTGGGGGCTAGATTGGATGTTTCTATTGGAAGGAGACATAAACAGTGTTTCCAGCACACTTGGACTATGCTGTGGTTTGATCTGGGGTCAGTTACATGGGGACCATCACTTTGTAAAAATTCAACAAGCTGTATACTTATGACTTGTCACTTTCTTGTATTTAGGTTGCACATCAATGAAATAAGTTAAAAAATTGTGCTATGATATGCATCCATGTTTACAACCTTAAGTATATTCTAAGAATCAAATACTATTATCATTTTAAGTTTTTTTTAGTTCACATTGCTAATTATTTTGCAGGAAAGTCTGTAACAGTTTTGACTCTTATCAACACTATATAAGTTGTGATTTCACTGCGTTCAAATTAATACTTCTTGTCATCATTTTTCTAATTTTTAATAATTTATAAATTTAAAATTTGATTGTTTCTGCTTTTTAACCTTTTATTTTTTTTTTTTTTTTAGATTTTATTTATTTATTTATTTGACAGATAGAGATCACAAGTAGGCAGAGCAGCAGGCAGGGAGGGGGGGTGGGGGGGGAAGCAGGCTCCCTGCTGAGCAAAGAGCCCAATGCAGGGCTCGATCCCAGGACCCTGAGATCATGACCTGAGCCAAAGGCAGAGGCTTAATCCACTGAGCCACCCAGGCACCCCCTCTCTAACTTTTTATTTGGAAAATTTTCAAACTTACAGAAAAGCTGAGAGAATAATATAATGGACACCCAGAGATTCTTCATTAGATTTGTCAATTTTCCACTTTTTCCCACCTTTTCTTTCTCTGACTCTATTTACTTCCCACCCACATGTACACACACACACACATGCACGTACATGTGTGTATATACACACACATTTAGTTCTCCGTTTCTGAACTATTTGAAAAGAAGTTTTAGACATCATGGCAATTTACGCCTTCATGCACCACATAAGAATAAGGATATGTTTCTGCATAACCACAATCCCTCCACCATGCCTTGGAACAGAAACAGTATTTCCGTATTGTGAAGTAATATCTAGTCTGTATTCATACTTCCACAATTGCCCCGGTATATAGTCTTTTCTGTTTCTTAAATACAGGATTAAATGAAGTTCATTCACTCATTGCACTTGGCTGTTTTGTCTCTTTAGTCTCTTTTTACCTGAAACAGTCCTGCCACGCGACCCTCCCCAGCTTTCTCTCATGACATTGAAATTTTTCAAGTCTAGGTCACTTGAAAACCTTCTGTTTGTTTTCCAATGTGTACAACTCTGCCCGATTCCATGGGCTTATGCCACAAAATTATTATAGGTTTTCAGAGACATATGTCTCAGAAGCTGTAACAAATTTTCTTTTTTTGGCTGTTGGCTAATCAGAGCAGGACGCTGGATCTCCAGTTGGACACCAGATGTTTTTACTGAGGGGTGAAAAAAAAAAAAGCATTAAGAGCTTTTAAATCTTAAGCTATTGCTTTGATCATATAAGAAATAATACTGACATTTCGTTCCCTGAAATGTGGTGCAAGGGCTTTTCCTTGATATTGACACGATATATTATTCAATGAATCAGTGAGCGTAGAACCAGTTTAAAAGACCTGAATAGGCAGTGACGGCCAGGAAGGATATTTTGAAGTTTGAAATGATCCCTATATAAATAGAACGGATCAGCATAACTTTGGGATAAAATTAGCCGACAGTCTGTGGGCTCTCCAGCATGTGCCTGTTTGCTTGGTGCCGCTCTCCTGATAAATCACAACAAAGCTTCCAGAGGGAGAGGAGGAAGGATGGAAGGCACCACCGCCCCTATCACTAAATCCGCAGCTGCCAAGTTAGTTAAGAGAAATTTCCTTGAGGCTCTCAAGTCCAATGACTTCGGAAAACTGAAAGCCATCTTAATCCAGAGGCTAATAGATGTGGACACGGTTTTTGAAGTTGAAGATGAGAATATGGTTTTGGCATCTTATAAACAAGGTAAAAATTAGAGGTGTGATTATAAAATCGATAGATAATGGATTTTCTTTTTTTTTTAATACACAATGTTGGTCACCCAATCTAAGCCAGGAGCTCTTATGGTTTACATATGTATTTTTAAAAAATATTTCTAATTTAATCTTTTTCTTTTTAAACTAGACCGCATCGTGAATGGGATATATTTGTATTTCTTTCTGTCTATCTTTCTATCTTTTCTTTTCTCTTCTCTTCTTTCTCTATCCTTGTGTCTGGAGTTTGAAATCCTGGACCATGATATTTATTAGTGTACTTTGCTTTTATTTTGAACTTTTCTTCTGCCTACAATGACATAGAATAAAGAAAACATCTCTAGATTATGGCTAAACAGACTGCTAAGATCTAATCCAGACAGAGTGACTGCCTTGGGGACAGGCGGCTAACTCTCTGCTTGCACAGCCACTGAAAGGTATATCATCTCTGTGTCTATCTGGATGGAAAAGGGGATTTTTGCCCCTATTTGGAGGGTTAATGAATGGGTAAGTCTCTGCCTTGATGCACCTTGATGGTCTTCATCATGTTAATGAGTTTTTAGTTCAGGCAAAAAACTGAAACCAGAAAAACCCCAAAGTTAACTTTTTTTCCTTGACTGTAATAATAGATCAAAACTGTAGATATGTTAAATACAGAATGGCTGCCTTTTAAAGAACGAGAGGTAACAAGAACGAAAACGGATTTTTTTTTTTATCAAGGGATTTTCTGGAACCCATGCCTGAGAAATCAGAAATAAATTAGAAGTACGCAGATTCTGATTTCCCAAATCAGCTAGTTAATGGGGAACTTGAGTAGCAAGGCCATCTGGCGAGCAAACTACAAACAAACACCATGTTCAACATCACTTCTGTTTAAACAAAATAGATGATAAGGTCTTGTGTACAGCATTTGGAGAGAGAGAGCAATTCTTTCTTCTTGTTGTAAGTGCTTTCCATTCACATATAAGCCATCAGCACCATCAATTTTCAGAAACTAATGCTAATGGTATATATTTCTCCATTAATTTACTGTACTCTGGTTGTTAGTTCTGAAGGAAGAATAGAGGAGGCCAGTTACTGTGTTTATGATTTTTTCCTGGAGGGCTTTATCATAAATTGGCATTGCTGTTTTGACTGGAAGATAATGAAGAAGTTTGTTTTTTAAAAAACTGGTTGATGGAGCTCTGTTAGAAAGAAAGAGTGTATAGCATGTAATCACATTACTTTCTCCTTCTGGATCTGTTCAGTGAACACTAAATACATTTTTAAGGTATCTTTTAAGCTCATGTGTGTGCCCATGGAAAAAACTCAGGTCCGAGTCAGTGTAACTTATTTAACATTGAGTTGTGAAGACTGCCTCTTCCCATCTCTTAAACATGCCAAATTGCGTGGATCCCTCAAGGTTTTGAGGTTGTGAGAAAAAGGAAGTTGAAGGGCAGGCTCTGGGGAAAGAAGATGCTGTTTCTACTGCTTCCAGGGGGTCATCACCCTGAATCAGAAGAAAATACAGTTTTCATCCTTTCTGTCCATATGAGCCGATTCCTATGGTCCTCATAGAGCTAAAAATTCATTCACACGAATGGGAATTTTCATAGTGTTAGGATTGTGGGATGTGGCTTTCCATTTGGGAAACAGCAAATTATAGCCTCTGGGCAAGGAAAAGTAGAGTTCCATTTCTTATGCATGCCAGGTAAACGTATGCACAGAAATCATGGGATTTGGGATCATATCTTCAGGGTTTATAGGGGAATCATGCCTGTGTCTGTGTGTGTGCACACATGCTTGTAGACACAGAGAGAAACACACTCCTGTTTAATATGAATATGGGCATCAGAATCTCTCTCTTCCATCTGAAATCCAGATTAAAGACTCCTCTTTCTTCAAAGCTTTTTCAAATTTTCCCCCCCACATTTTCACATGTCTTTCAGCCTCATTATCGAACCTTTTAATATTTCAGTCAGGAATGGAAGTGATAAATAGAATCTTGGTTGCTAGCCAAGCAAAGTTGACCTAAGTGGTTATATCAATTTCTTAAGTCACAGAGGAATTCCCAGGGACCAGGGTAGAGCTGAGCAGGCTGCCCTGGGTAATTAGTTCAGTAGAGGTAGTTCCTTTCGGGACATTGAATTCTAGTGCATTGCTACGCAGCAGGTTTTGGTTTTTAAAAACAAATTTGAAAGGTGCCACGCAGAAAAGTGTACAGATCACAAGTGTACAGCATGATTAATTTTCATAATGTAAACAAACCCATATAACCAGCATCTGAATGTGGAAATGGAAACATGACCTGTTTACTTTAAAAGTATGAGAATCTTCAAGTTTTAGGTATTTTGAAGCTTACTAAGCGCAACAATGTTGAAGACTTATAAAAGATACCACGCGATCTTTAAATTTGCTTGTAGGATGAAAAATATAATCTATATTCAACATTTCATGGTCCCGCAGAAGATCAACAGGAGTACAATTAATCCCAAAGCATTTTTACTTCTTTTAGGACATAGAGCACTTTTCATAGAATTTCAAAAAGTGACCCCATTTTTTCCCCTGAATATGGTATGTCTAAGTTTAGTATACAAGTCATTTCATAGTTTTTGGAAAGACAGTTCAGAACTCTGTGGGTGAGGAAATCAGCTTGGGGTCTCAACATTGCTCCCCCAAATCCACCATCTCATTGGTACAGTCACGTAAGCAAATATAAAATGTGGGTTTTGTGAGGAAGGCAGAACCAAGCATCTGGAAATTCACTTCTGCTTCCTCATCCCACTGAATAGCTCCCCTCGCCCACGGGACAGAGAGCGGAATTCCAGAGCTTAGGTTCAAACTGTGGGTCCCACCCAGCCCCAGCACCTAATAATGATTGTTATAGTTGGGGAGTCCTTGTTTTATTTCTTTAAAGTTATGTTAAACTTCATAATCAAATCTTCAGAAAAAATCATGTTTTACTAATTGAAGGAAAAAAAAAAAAGCCTGTCTCACACTTTAGAAAGCAAACATTAAAAACATGCCGGCTGACATTTGGGATAACTCCTGGAGGACAGCAGGGACATGTGTCTCTAAAGCAAAAACAAGCAAGCAAAATTCCATCTACCAGACGACGGCTTTCAAATGGGAACGGCGTGAAGGAAAGTTAGATACACAAACAACTTTTTAACTGCTACACGCAGTAAGTAGCTGCAAAGTCAAGGGTTGTTAATGATAGAAAGTTTACCATGAGCCAAGGGTGCAGTATCCAGAGTGAACACAGTATCTGTAAGAAAATCCGAAGCTATTCATATGGGCTCTCACTAGTGATCCCTATACTAGAAATGTGAACATCCATAAAGCTGTTTCCAAAGGCTTTTCCAACTACATATTGCGATTCTCTTTCAGATGTATGAGCCCTGGCGCGTTAATGATACAGGCAGAATACCGTACATCTCTCTTGGGTATGAAATTCCCTAGTCAGCGAGGTTAATCAGAGTCTTTTATTAATCAGTGTAATGCACTTTAAGCACTTCGTTTATGGCCCACAGCTGCAGGTTCTTTGGTTGGTAGTCATATTTTTAATTAAAATAACCAATGAGTGATTTCGCTAGAAAACTTTCTGGCAGGTGTTCTATCTACTTTACTAAGTAACAACTGCCTTCCAAATATCTTGAAAGCTCTTACTTCCACACTCTTAATGAATAATCTCTTTATCACTTCACTTTCCTCTTTGCCAGAAATATGCTCTCCTACAATCCTCTTACCATCCTCGGGTACTTTTCCCTTCCTGGGTGTTCAAACTTTTTTTTTCTTTCTTTCTTTCTTTTTTTTTTTTTTTAATTTTTTTTTTTTTTTTTTAATTTATTTGACAGAGAGAGAGATAGGGAGAGCAGGAACACAAGCAGGGGGAGTGGGAGAGGGAGAAGCAGGCCTCCCCCGGAGCAGAGAGCCCAATGAGGGGGTGGGGGGGTTGCTGGGGGGCTCGATCCCAGGACCCTGGGATCATGACCTGAGCCAAAGGCAGACGCTTAACGACTGAGCCACCCAGGCGCCCCTCAAACTTTTTTCTTTTAAATGTTGCATTTCAAGCTGGCTTTTTGCCCCCTCTCCTGGGGGAGTTCTGAGGTTTATCCTGAAAATGTTAGCTATTAAAAGATAGCCAAGAATTGTGCTTTCGTCTGTAATCCTTCGGTACTGTGCAAATACGTGGACACAGGCCGAGCAAATGTCTGCTAATCCAGCGCGAGCAGCGTGTGTAACCTTTGGCTGTAATAACAGAGGCTTCTCGTGTGTGGGGTGCTTTGGACTCAGAGAACATTGTAGCTGATCACTGTTGCGCAGCCCAGGCTTAGCTGAAAGTTTCCCAGAGAGGTGAACACCCCCAAACACAGAGCAGAGTCAATCCCTTCTTCCAAGAGGTAGCCTGAACACCGACCCTCTCTCTTTACCGTATTTCCTGAGCGCAGGGCTTCCTCCTCGGCTATTCAGACCTGTCTCTGGTTTCAGATTTAATTAAACACACGCACACGCACACGCGCGCGCACACACACACACACACACACACACACACACGATCACTCCGAATACCTCTGTAGGGGTTGAACTTCTTAGATGCTATTTAGAGCTTTTTGCGTACAAGTGCTGTTGGTTTTGGGGGGCGGAGAAGTGGGCAGTCAGCCCGTCACCCGCGGCGGTTTAAAAACTTGGGGAGACCAGAGATTGGGTTGATCTGTCCGTACCAGTTAGACAGGCTCGAGCGCTGTGTGCTCCTTAATCTTATCCTTATTTGTAAAGCGGAGACTTTGTCAAGACCCTCTCCAAATCCCCTGCGTGCCGATAATCTGTGATGTTATGAAGGGGAAATGATATAAACAGATGATGTGTCACGGTCTGGGGAAGGTGAAAAGTGACTGTAGATGCTATAAATCCACGTGGGCATGCCTTTGAGAGACTCTGCGGGATTTTTGCCCAGGACAGGATCTGTAGTCTTGTCTCTGTTAAACTCCTGGCTCAAGCAGAGTTCCTCGAGCCATTGCTACTGGCGCACTGCAGACCTGCGGGGGGCAGGCGAGGTGAGTGGCTTACAGTATTGGGGAGGCAGTGGCTTCCTGACTCCCCCCTCAGGGGCTTTGTTCCCAGGTTCCACCCACCCCCCCTTTGTGCACATCTGAGCACACAGGGCAGCCTGCCATCTTCAGAGGGTAGCAGAGGGGACTCTGAAAAACAAACACTCAGAATTCATCACACTCTAGGCCCGGAAGCCCTGGGATAATTCTGCCCTGGAAAGAAGGAAGAGTGTACAAAATGAAGATGTCCGATTGGTTAGTTAGCTGTAGTTCTGTTGTGCTGTGACTGTTGGAGGCTGTACGTTAGAAGGCAAATTCTGATGTCTTGGAGTGTCCGTAGCAATACAACATTTTAATAGGTGTTGCCTCACTGTGGTTTCTGAGGATGGCCTTACCTCAGGTTTGGTTCCCAGAGTGGGTAGGTGAGGTGGAAAGGACACTCTTGCTGCTTCCCACACTTGGTACAAAGTGACCTGTGGCTGCAGGCTCATTTTAAGGTGTGACTGCCCAAGGTGTGGCCATACATAGCCTCCTTGCTGTGGGCTGCTCCGTTCTCTCCAGAAGGCTTTCCTGCTATGCCTGGGGTCAAATGATCCGGAATCTCAGCCCCACCCCACCCCCCACTGCACATACACACCACCACCAAAAAGTTCTGCTGCGTGGCTTCAAGACACACTTCAGTGGGCCGTGATCTGTATCTGATCTGTCCCCTTCCTATTTATTCAGCTTCTAGGGGCAGCAGCAAAGGTGTCTTGTTGCCAACCACCTACACACATTTCCATCTAGGAGGGGTGACTGGTAGGCAGAAGCTCATCCGGGGTGGGCTGAATCCCAGGACCCGGCTGTCTCCGAGGCTGATTTACTGGTTAAAGATTATGACCAAAGGAACAGGCGGAGGCAAGGGACTGAGAGACTAAGGATGACTGATGCCTGGAATAAATGGGGCAGGAGAGATTCTCCAGGTGCTACTGGGAATTTAGGAATAAAACATCCACCAGCAAATGCATTTCCATATCAGAGATGTGGTGTAGTATAGATGAATTCAGGATCTGCTTTCCTTCCTCGTGATTTGTGAAGCAGGATGGCTGCTAAAACCTATTCTGCTTCCACAAAGACAAAGACAGATGGAAACCCTGCATTGCAGATATCCCGAGTCCATTAGCTTGGACTGAGGCAGGCGACTTATGGCTCTGGCAGGCTGAGAAAGTGGCAGTTTTCTCATCTGGAAAATGAAAGGCTTGGACTGGATAATCTTCCCTCCAGCGCTAACATTCTGTGTTTTCTTTGACTTTACATCAAAATGGTGTTTTCTTAATCAGCTCTCTACTGCTTCCTTTTCTGGGATCATTTTTCTTCCCATTGCAGAAGCAGGCACGAGTTTCCAATCAGTGGGTGCACAGAGCTGCCGAATGTTGGCTGCTATTCAGCAGGCAAAACGTAGTCCAGTTTCCAGATCTGGAACCAGCTTCTTTCCAAGACAGTTAGAAGAGAATGGCTTTGCAAATTGCTTGTTGAGGAAATCTGAGCGTTAAAATGACTGATTATGTACTGGTGCTAATGTGATTCATTCATTATCAAAAGCAGGTTGCATACCACAGAGCCTGAAAACTCTGCTCGGAACGTAGACTCAATGCACACAGCTAAATAAGAAAGTATAAATGGGTACACACACATGCAGCATGTATGCCTATCTGTTTACGCACACACACACACGCACGCACGCACATTACAGGCACAGGGTTGATAATTCCACAGCCCAGACTGTCCGTGATACTGTTTGTCTCTGCCGGAGAAAAGTCCCTATCAATGAACCCCTTCCCTTCACAGGGTCTGGGATCTCAAATTAGTATCTTAACACTTAGTTCTATTAGTTGAATCCAGATTCCCACATAAATTCGGATAATCCTAAGAGGGTCGCACTTTAAAAAATCCTCAGTTCATTAGACTTTAGTGTGAATTAACTTTGTATTTCTTTTTAAAGAGGTGTTGTGGGTAAGGAGAATGCTGGGAGGGATGGAAAGTCAAATGGCCTTGGAATTCTGAATAGAATGAGAAAGGGATGTGTGTATGTGTGTGTGTGTGTGTGTGTGGTGTGTGTGTGCATGTCTATGGTGGAGAGTGGCTTACAGAAAAACAAACTTCAGCTGGGTTCATTGATTCCCTCAGGATTAGTCAGCATTGTGCACGACCCTGTAATATGGTCTTTGAAACTAAATTATCTTTCTGCCTCTGAAGAGGGGACAATAGTTTATTTTAATTTTACTTATTTTCACAAATAGGGATACATGCACAAGGCACTGAATTTAAAAGCTCAAAAAGGAGGCATCTGAGGACGAGTAAGTCTATGTCCTTGTCTCCCAGCCCCTAGTTCTTGGAGGTCACTGCTTAACCAGTTTCTTGTTTGCAGGGCTGATAAATATTTTCACATATGATAGCATGTTCTGCACACTGATCAGCCCCTGCCTTTCTTGCTCGGTAATATATCTTGAGATTTTCCCGTATCCATACACACAGAACTGCTCTCTTTTTCATAACAGCTGTATAGTATTTGATTGTATGGACACACCAAAAAAGTTTTTTAAACAGTCTCCTATTGATAAAGATAGAAACTGTTTCCAATGGTTACCCATTAGGATAGCATACTACCCATGTTGTAGTGTGGTGCCTGTTCTTACCCACAGGCCAGGTTATTATAACCCCTGACAACTTCATACTCTTCACAGACTTCAATGCAGGTGGTATTCTTGGAAGTTGTGCAATACAGTGACCCTGAGGGGGGTGCCTGGGTGGCTCAGTGGGTTAAAGCCTCTGCCTTTGGCTCAGATCATGATCCCCGGGTCCTGGGATCGAGCCCTACATCGGGCTCCTTGCTCAGCGGGGAGCCTGCTTCTCCCTCTTTCCGCAGGCTGCTTCCTCTCCTTGTGCTCTCTCTCTCTCTGTCAAATTAAAAAAAAAAAAATACAGTGGTCCTTAGAGAGAATTCTCTCACGTGAGTGCTTATACTTGTAGGATAAATACCAGGAGTAGCACGTATGTGATGTTTCTCACTTAAATGAGAGAATTTTAATACCCGATCGCCGGGCCCCCTTGTTATGTGGTCCTCAACCTCCAAAGGCCCTCTAGATGTTCATCATTGGTGCCCAGAAGTATTCACAATATTCTGGATTCATTCTGGCCTCATCTACTCGGTAGAGAATACAACTTTCACCCCTTTTGTTTTGGGCACTGCACTTTCATTAATGGAGCTTAAGACTGAGTTAGCTTTTTGGCAGCTTCACCCCCTGTTGGCTCTTTTTGAGAATTCTGTCAACTCAAGTCCCTAGGTCTTTTCTCAAATAAATTAGCATTAAACCGTATTCCACTCATCTTGTACTTGTATAGTGGAATTTTATAACTTAAAAGCAAACTTCTGATTTATCCATGTTAAAATATATTTTGTTGTTTCAGCCCTAGAATCTCTTCCAAGCTGCTGGGTTATCTTACATCTTCATCTGGGCCTCAGTATTTTATCTTTTTGAACCCATTTTCCATTACCCACTCCTACTGAGCTTAATATCATGGCTCTAGGTACTGACACTGGAAGAAGGTTTATAAAATTATGTTTGTTATGGCTTGTGAGACATGTGAGGGAGAGAGGGGGAGGGAGGAGAGAGAGAACATTTCCAACAACTAATGGGAAGAATTTATCTAAGATCTCAGTTCTAGGATCAGCCATGCTTCTCCTGAGCAATTAATTTGTGTATAGCTTGTGGGCATAGTTAATTGTGCAATACATCATATTTTCCTATTTATTTTGGCTGCTAGGAAGTGCAAAGGCAAATTTGCAATGTGGCTCTAGTGTATAGGACAAGGTTTATATTTTGTGTACCGATCTTACCCTTGACCACTTTTTGTTTTCCTACCTTATTTTTTTCCCTTTGCCCTTAGATCATTTAAAAAATCCTGTATTGTGTAAAATTTGTGAGTTGCCTTAAGTTTTTCTTCCATAAGAGCTATTATAAAAACCAATAGGCAGGCACATAAAATCTTCACAAGACAAATTTTTTTTTTGAAGATTTATTTATTTGACAGACAGAAATCACAAGTAGGCAGAGAGGTGGGTGGGCAGGGGGTGGGGAGAAGAAGGCTCCCCACCGAGCAGAGAGCCTGATGCAGAGCTCGATCCCAGGACTCTGGGATCATGACCTGAGCTGAAGGCAGAGGCATTAACCCACTGAGCCACCCAGCCACCCCCCCCCACAAGACAAATTTTTTAAAGACATCAAATACATTCATACCTCTGATTGACAACAACAGCAGCAACTATAGGGCAAAAGAACCATGATGGAATAAAAGGTATAATCTTGTAACTAACAGCTTCAGAAACATTCAAGGCAATGATTGAGAGTTAAAACAATAAGAGTCTCATGTAACTCACCATGTAAAATAAAATGTGATTCCATAAATGAAGGTGTCAAACTCAAATGCCTCGAAGGGCCAGGAAGAATCAGTAAATAAAGCAACGAGGTAACGGAAAATGCTAGAAACAGAGAGACTCAAGAGCGCCTGTCCTGCTCAAGATATCCAAGCATGCTTCTAAACTAGACATTTGCAGACCCACCAGTTACTAGTTTGCACTTCTGAATCACTCCTCCCCCCTAATTTTATGAATGTGACCAAAGTAAGAGATTTATAAAAACTTTCACAAAACAGAGAAAAATCCTAGGCCAAAAACTTAAACTTTCTTTCCTTTCTTGTCCAGGTTACTGGTTGCCTAGTTATAAGTTGAAGTCTTCCTGGGCAACGGGCTTGCATCTCTCTGTCTTGTTTGGTCACGTGGAATGTCTTCTGGTGCTACTGGACCACAATGCTACAATCAACTGTAGACCCAATGGGAAAACCCCCCTTCACGTGGCTTGCGAAATGGCCAACTTGGATTGTGTTAAGATCCTCTGTGACCATGGAGCAAAGCTCAATTCCTACTCCTTAAGTGGACACACAGCTTTACACTTCTGTACAACTCCTAGTTCCATTCTCTGTGCCAAGCAATTGGTTTGGAGAGGTAAGACTTTCTGGGTGGCTGACATGGTCATCTACTTGCACACTCACAGTTGTGAAACTTGGTGATCATTACTTTCCTCAAGTAATGTAGTAGGTATCCCATTTATAAGTCTAAACACCTATATATATACACACATATATATATGCACACATATATATATTTATAAATTTATATATTTATATAACTATATAAATGCACATGTTGGTCCAGGTGAATTCAGTGATGATCACATTGGACTCATTATTTTCTTCATTGGAAGAGGTTCATTAGTTTACACATTTATTTAACAAATATTTATTTAGCTCTTATGATGTGTCAGTTAATGTGCTAAGTAACTGAAAAAGAAAATAGTTTCTGCCTTCAAGAAGGTATATTCTAGAAAGGGAGAGAAATGCTAGCAAAATAAATTCATAACTATGTAATCATAAATTGGGAAAGGAGCAAAATAGGGTGTTATGAAAGAGAATGTCAGGAGTAAACTATTCGAACATGTATGAAGATTCCTCTAAAGATATGATTTGTGAAGTTGAAACTTTACGAATGAGAGGGAGTGAGCCATTGAAAAAAGAGCCAAGGGGAAGAGAAGCCCAAGTATAGAGAAGAGCATGTGCAGAGTTGCTAAGGAAGCAAAAAACCTGGACTATTCAACACATGGGGAAGACCAGTGTGGTCGGAATATCACGGGTATGGGGCGGGTGGGAGGGACAAGAGGGTAGAGGAGAGTGCCACATGATGACATTGGATGTGTTGGGTAAGAGCTTGCTGGGTGCCAGGGCATGAGGTTTAGAAATGGAGGCACAGAAAATTTTAAGCAAGGAAATGACATGGCTTAATTTTCACTTAAAATCATTATCCTGATGGTAGGCAGAAATAGAATTAGAAGAGACCAAGAAGGGAAGCAGGGAGACCAGCAGTGAAGCTATTGCAATGGCATAGGTGAGAAAAGACGGTGATTTGCATGAAGGGGCAAACTTGGATACGAAGATTAGAAGATGGGTTTGCAATATTTTTTCGAAGCAGAGTTAATAGCATTTGGAGATGGATTTTATATGGATGAGTGGAGAAGGAAAAGGAAATTTCAAGTATCATTGCCAGGTTTCTGGCTTTAGAAAGTGGATAGATAGTGATGCTATTTTTGTTTTAAAGATCGATCAATCAATCTATCTATCTATCTATTTGGGAGCTAGAGAGCACTGAGAAGAGGGGCAGAAGGAGAGGGAGAGAATCTTGAAGCAGACTTGGCGCTGAGCATGGAGCCAAACGTGGGGCTTGATCTCACGACCAAGAGTCCTATGCTTAATTGATTGAGCCATTTTTTAAGATGGAGAGACTTGAAGAAGAATCATGTATGTGGGAAAGATCACTAAATAGTTTTTTTTTTTTTTAAGATTTTATTTATTTATTTGACAGACAGAGATCACAAGTAGGCAGGGAGGCAGGTGGTGGGGGTGGGGAAGCAGGCTCCCTGCTGAGCAGAGAGCCCCATGCCGGGCTCGATCCCAGGACCCTGAGATATCATGACCTGAGCCGGAGGCAGAGGCTTACCCCACTGAGCCTCCCAGGCGCCCCCACAAAATAGTTTTTTAGGGGAGACTGGCTGGCTCAGTTGGTTAAGCGTCTGACTTGATTTCTGCTCAGGTTATGATCTCAGAGTCCTGGGATGGAGCTGTGTGTCAGGCTCTTGCTCAGTGGGGAGCCTGCTTGTCTCCTGCTCCCTCTGCTCCTCCCCCTGCGTGTGGTCTCAAATAAACAAATAAATAAATCTTTAAAAATTAGTTTTTTAGGGGCGCCTTGGTGGCTCAGTGGGTTAAAGCCTCTGCCTTCAGCTCGGGTCATGATCCCAGGTCCTGGGATCGAGCCCCGTGTCGGGCCCTTTGCTCAGCAGGGAGCCTGCTTCCCCCTCTCTCTCTGTTTGCCTCTCTGCCTGCTTGTGATCTCTGTCTGTCAAATAAATAAATAAAATCTTTTTAAAAATTAATTTTTTAAAAGTCAGTTTATAGAGGTATAATTCCACACACAGTAAAATTCAGTATTTTTGAGAAACATGTAGTCATGAAATCATCATCACGGTCACTTTCAAAAACTTTTCTGATGTTCTTTGTAGTTAATCCCTTCACTGGACCCTCACCTCCAGCAACTACTGGTCTGTGCTCTGTCCCTATAATTTTGTCTTTTTCAGAATGTCGTATAAATTAAATTATACAATATGTAGGCTTTGGGCCTGTTTTTTTCCTACTTAGCATAATGCCTTTGAGATTCACCTATGTGCTTGCACTCACCAGTCTATCAGACCTTTGACTGCTGAGTAGTATTCCTTATATAGACATAACACAGTTAATCAGCTCCCCTGTGGGGGGACTTTTGGATTGTTTCTAGTCTTTGGCAATTTTGGGGAAAAAAAAAAAAGCTGATATAAACATTTGCATACAGATTCTTGTGTGGAAATGTTCTCATTTCTCTTGGGTAAATACCCAGGAGTAGGACTATGGGTCTTGTGATAAATTTATAAGAAACTACTTTCCCCTTTTTCAATCTAGTTGTACATTTTGCATTCCAACCAGCAATGCATGAGTTCAGTTTCTCTCCATCCTTGCCAGAACTTGGTGATGTCAGATTAAAAGAAAAATTTATTTCAGCAATAATAGGTATATAATAGTATCTCATGGTTTTAATTAACATTCCCCTAATGGCCAAGGATGATGAGTATGTTTTCAGGTATTTATTTCCCAGCTGTGTATTTACTTTGGTGAAATATCTGTTCATATCTTTTGTTCCTTCTTTTTGAAAATGGGTTGTTTTCTTATTATTGATTTGTCAGTGTTCTTTATATATTCTGGATACTAGCCCTTAATTAGAAATGTTTGCAAATATTTTTATTCTTTCTTTGACTTTTTATTCTTCCTGTCTTTAGAAGAGAAGAAGCATTTAATTTTAATAAATTCAATTTATTCATTTTTACCTCTTATGGCTTATGCTTTATGTGTCCTAGCTAAGAAATCTTTGACTAACCCAGGAACAAAGATTTTCTCCTATGATTATTTCTAGAGGTTTTATAATGTCAGGTCTTACTTTTAGGTCTTTGACTCATTTTGAGTTAATTTTTGTATATGGTATAAAGCACCGGTTGAGGTTCATCTTTTTATGCGTGGGTAAATTATCTTATATATACAATTGTTTCAACATCATTTACGAAAAAGACTGCTTCTTCTCCATTGAGTTGCCTTGGTATCTTTGTCAAAAATCAAGTGGCCAGATATGTATGGATTCTCTGACTTATGTGGGTTTTTTTGTTTGTTTTGCTGATGTTCCACTTGCTTGATTGCTGAAGCTTTAGATTAAGTCTCAAAATCAGAGTGAGTTTCCCCAGATCAGTTTTAAACACGAGAAGTTTCAGATCGCCCTGAGACCTCAAAGTGAATGAGTCAAAGCTGTACTTGACATAACCTATGGATTGCAGAAGAGAGCTCTGGACTAAAGCTGTAAGTTTAGGAATTGTTGGGGATTGTTTAGGAATTGTTATAGATTGTATTTGAAGCCAAGGGAATCAATGAAATCGCTTGGATAAAGAGTGCGGAGAGAAAAGAGAAGGGAGGACCAAGCCGTGATAAATTCTTACATTTAAGATGTTAGCAGGATGGAGAGGGGCCAAGGAGAGTGAAATGGATTGGTAAGTGGAGTGAGAGAGAGCCCAAGAGCATTTTTGGCATCAGGGGGACTAAGAAAGAGGCAGGTTCAAGAGGGAGGAGGCGGTCAATTGTATTGATGGCCACTGAGAGATTTAATTAGATGTCCCATAGATTAAGTGACAGAATTATCACTGACAAAAAGCAGTTTGGGTGAAACGGTGGGTGTAGAAGCCAGATTCGAATGGTATAAGGTGGGAAAGGGAGGATGAAAACTGGGGATGCCACATACAGACAACTGTTCAAAGAAGTCTGGCTGCACATGTAAGCACAAGAGTCGCGCGAGTGCCGAAGGGGGGTTGGGGACACAGCAGAGTGTTCTGTAGTTGGAGATAAAAGGAAATGTTTGTATGTCGAAGGGAATGATTTTAGAAAGCCAACAGTTGAAAATGCACAAGACAGGGTAACTAAAATCTTAGAGGCTGAGATGGGGGGAAATCAAGGGACTGTGCCTCAGTTTTAACCAAGGGGCCAAAGTAAAGGATGGCTTTAAAATGCCAGAGTGTTGGGGCGCCTGGGTGGCTCAGTGGGTTGAGGCCTCTGCCTTCGGCTCAGGTCATGATCCCAGGGTTCTGGGATCGAGCTCCGCGTCGGGCTCTCTGCTCGGCAGGGAGCCTGCTTCCCCCCCTCTCTCTCTCTGCCTGCCTCTCTGCCTACTTGTGATCTCTGTCTGTCAAATAAATAAATAAAATCTTTAAAAAAAAAATGCCAGAGTGTTTATAGATGTGGCATGGTGAGATGCAGAGGTTCATATTTGATAACTTTCCCCCCTCAGTAACGGATAAGGCAAAGTCATGAGCCAAAGACAACAGCAGAAAGGGTGGAAATTTTGATGAGGGTGGGGAGGGATGGAAAGGTCATGGGGAAAGATTAGGAGAACAGGCTTAAAGATGCCAGGGTCTTCTCAACCTGTGAGAATCCAAGGGGGAAAAAATCCATCCAGCTTCCTCTCCTTTGTGCCTGCCTGGGGAGGGGAGGGGTCTAGAGCAGATACATGTGGAGAGGAGTAGGGGACAGTCGGGGCAAGCCACCTATAGCACGTGGCCATCACCCCCGTTCACACTGACTTACATAGGTAGGGGGTTTTGATATTGTTTTTGCTTATAGTTTAATTCATTCATTAAACTTTTAAGCTTTTAAAAAATTTTTATTGGGGCGCCTGGGCGGCTCAGTGGATTAAGCCTCTGCCTTCAGCTCAGGTCATGGTCTCAGGGTCCTGGGATCGAGCCCCACATCGGGGTCTCTGCTCAGCAGGGAGCCTGCTTCCCCCTCTCTCTCTGCCTGCCTCCCTGCCTACTTGTGATCTCTCTCTCTCTC